AATGGGAACCATGACAGCCACAGCACTGAGCAGAGAGCTGCCTCCCCTTACTAATAGAAAAGGCTGAGAATATGGATGTGACTTATATTCTACCCCAATTTGAGCTGTTGGCACCCCCCTTTAATTGGGATTCATAGCCTGGAACCCTTTTCTGGATTTAGGTGCTTGAATTGTTTCCACCAAAAACAAAGGGGGTTGCTACTCTGAGGGCCTATGTACCAGACTATTGTGTAGAATAATTCCACTTTTAACTGCTGCATGGGCAAATGTACATTTAAAGATGACCTGTTCCCCTAATCTACTCTTTATCATCTGCATTCACCTTTGGCATTTCTTCTCTTATTTTCAAGGCTAATCTGGAAGATGTCAGAAAAAGGTTCCGTCCCATAGAAGAGCTGAAGGCAGAATTTGAGCAACTCAACATGAGGATAGAAACTGATTACGAAATTATGGTTAAATTAATCAACAAATTTAACAGCTCTGATTCTACGCTGGATGAAAAAATAGCAGCACTTTATGATCTTGAGTATTATGTTCATCAGGTAAGGCATCAAAATCTTTTTAGCAGCGCCCATGTAAATTCCAGGGGATGTGGTGTCATAAATGTGATTTTTATTCTTCTTTTCAGCATTGGATAATACATATTGTTTAATTATGACAGTCCTAGGACAATAAGAGGTTTCACAAGACTGCTTCAGGCTTATTTTATTATATATTAGCTCTAATACATTATTATTTTTAACAGATAAAATATAATAACCATTTAACCAGAGGCTAGCGTTGCCCACTTTGCTATGTGCTCTCGGCTCTTGTTTTATGTCGTCTTCTTTGCTTTTGGTTTTATGAAGATAGGTTTTATTATTATGTATGTCTGCTTTTATAAATGAAGCTGTTGGTTGGTTCCCTAATTGCCTTCTATGGTTACAAGAGTGGCTACTTCATAAATAAAATTATTTCACTTTTATTTATACTTGAAAAGCATCTGTTATTGAATGCAATCTTTTGCAATTCCTCCCTGTCTCCCCACACAGAATGCCATTATCTCAAGCTGTTTTGGGTACATGTTACCCGTCTATCTTTTTGGATCACTACATAGTTTTCCTGGCAGATCTCTGGTTCTGCCAGCAAAGCTGTAAGTGTATCCACACTTGCAGCTCCCCTGTGGTGGCAGAACCCCTTTTCCTCTGCCAGCAGAGCAGTGTGAGCTCCTTGACTGACAGAAGGCTACTGCTAGCTGGCATGGCCCCTTTAACAAAGGTGCCTATCCAAGGTATGCTTTGTAGTCTGCTGGTGCAGCTGATAAATGGAACCATGGGGGTAGGGCAGAAGCCCCACAGAGCCACCCAGAGGCAGATTAAGATGTTGGGGTCCTCGGGAAAGAGAAGATTGGGGGCTACAGCAGGGGAAGAGAGTGCAGCTGTTGTGGAAGAGTCACCCGGTTCTCATTCGCTTACTGACAAGTTATGGTGAACAACGTAAGGTAAATATATTATCATATATGCAACTAAATATGTAAGTCATCTTCTAATTTGCTTTATATTGCTCACCCTAAAAGGCCAGTGAATGAGAACTGGGCCCATGCTTGGCAACACTGAGTCTAGGTATCTCTGGGGGAAAATCTAGGCATCCATAGGCCCCTAATTGGTAGAGGTCCCTGGGCCTGGGTTCTGCTGGCCTGTGTGTTAATCTGCTTGTGGGGCTACTAGAAGCACAGTGTTTTAGGAGCTTCCATGTGAAGGTCTTGTTGTGGTGTTAGTTTATGGTAGCCCAGGTCTCAAGGCTTGCTGCTGTTAGGATTTTTGATAGCTGTTTTGATGACCTGTG